GAAATTAATTTTAAAAGTACAACTCCAAAACAGTTTCACCTTAAGTCGCTAAATAGTTTTCATTACGTTTGTTAATTATTCCCAACCGGAACAAGTTGGAAGAGCCTAGTTAACCATTTTTCTGCGACTAGAAGAGCTAGCTAATTGAGAAGAAACTGCAGAGTGTTTTTACTCAAGTTACTCTTTTCGACTAATTTTCTGTCTAATGTGCCCCGAACACACTTTATTTTTTACCGTGTGGATAGTAATATTAAAATTTAGCTATTTGTACTCGTAACGTTTCTGTTAAGGAGGGGTCCATCCACCCTCTCGTTTTTTCACATCAGTTTGTAGTAAACACCTTAAGGTATATATGTTAAATTTTTTCGGTTCTCGGACTTGTAGTTTTTGAGAAATAGTTTTTTTAATTTTCTACACGGTATTTAGCCCCATGTTTTAAAATCTCAATAAAATCTTTGTTTTTCAACATAGAAACCTGTTTCTTGCTTCATTCGATATGTCGACTTGTACATTTTCATCGTTTCCGAGTATACTACGGGGTAAAAATTTCAATTTCACGTTCACGATCCATTTTTGGTGCAAAAAGTAATTTTAATAAAACTTTGCGAGCGATTTCGCTTCATGAAAGCATTTTTGAACAAAAGTTGCTCAGCAAGCAATTTTACATGGGATGAACGAAGGAATTTTTAAAACTGGTAAAACACGGTTTTAAAAATTTAAATTTTCATAAAACTTAATTTAAAAACCGAGTTTTACGAATTTTAAAAATTTCTTCGCTTATTCCGTGTAAAATTACTTGCTGAGCAACTTTTGTTCAAAACTGCTTACCTGAAGCGAAATCGCTGGCAAAGTTTTATTAACCCTTTGTTTACCATTGCTCGACCATGATAGCTAGGGACTTCTTAATTTGTATCATCATTGTTCTCACTGAATGCTGATCACCCACAAAGTTTAGGCTTCTTTTCCTATCCCAAGCAAAAATGCTCTACGGAGAAAATCTAGCTCCACCGACTACATAACCGGGCGGTTATTCGCTTGATGGATCTAGGTAAATGTACCTTTTTACCTAGTTAGCTAGCTCCAACCTAGTAGTGAACCGAGCACTACGTTATCATAATCGAGTAGGAGCGGGAGGTTGACAACTAGGTTAACCGCCCAATTAACCGACCTGTTAAGCTAGCTCCGAAGGCGAAATATATTTAATAAGAGGGTGGTTATCAAGTAGGTTAACCGGGTGGTTAGAGCGCCAGCCCGATTAACCGGACACTCAAAGCTAGCTTAAAAAATAAGAAAAAAAGAATATGTGCCCGCATGCTTTGATTGGGCACTAAAACATCTGAGTGATCGAGAATATCTGATAGAGCGTCAAAAGGAATTTTTAAAAACTCTGGCTGATGGCATACATACAGAAAGTTGATCGCGGCTGTTTTGACGCATTCCTTACGTAACGTTATCCAACGATCACCGAGAAACTGCTGCATGAATAGTAGGCGTAAACAGTTATTTGCATCAATAGTTGTTGTTGTCAGATTCAGCAGTGCTTTGAGTAATGTTGGAATCTGATACATATCAGCCAGTTTCAATAACGACTCTATCTGTCCGAAAGGTAATGTTGATGTTACTATCGTGCCAGTGTAGAGAAATTTCAACATAGATGGAAAACCTTGTGGATCATCGAGTTTCAAAGAAACAACATTGCACGTTGACTCAGTCATTCCACTTTGAAACATGGCTTTGAAGTAATCTGAGCCTGCTGCAAGAACTACTCGATGAGCTTTAAAATGATCTTTATCGTTGACGATGAGTTTAATATCGTGCATTGTATGATCTGTGTAGAGAATCATGGCGACATCATGATAACGGATTTGATTATCTTGCGTGTTGATGTCTTGCGCGTTGTATCGATCCGTAATGAGTTGAACAAAATCGTCTTTGCTGAGAACATTGTTATCTTTATTTACCTTCTCATTTTTATTAATAAGCCAGTCCTTGTTGTTTTATTTTGTACTTGTATTCATAATTCCCTGGAACAAGATGTACAGTGTCACTATGAACATACTCTTGAGGACTCTTTCGATACGCATACGTCAGTTGAGCTAAAGAATTTGTCCAACTGGTATTATTAAATGAGCCGTATAATTCGACACGATCGAATTTTGACGCCGTGCACAGTTGAAATGTGATGGGATATGTACGTTTTTGCCAGAGCTCATTCATGTTTCGTATGTTTTATTTTGGAATAAAAAGGAGAGTGATTATGTTGTGTGGACAGAATAAGCTTTCGTTGTTGCAATTCTTTTTCTTTTTCTTACCCCTTTCGTATGAAGCAGAACAGAACTTGAATATGATAATGAAACGTGCATATTCTTTGGGACTGAAAGAGAATCTGATAGACAAACATAACACTTTCTTTTCATCTGTTTTCCCATATAGGTCATATTTCGTTACACACTCGGAGTCATTGTGCTCGGTTGTGCATCAGATTTAGATCAGTTGTAAATAAAAAAGAAGCAACTCTATTTCTTTTTTCTACACTCAGTTTGTTATACTAATCTAACAATTCAGTTTGGGAAC